GTGGTTTAGTGAAGAAATGCATGCAAGCCCTCCTCCCCCCGACAAAAAAAAAAAAAAAAAAGTTAAAGCATATATTGAAATAACATTACAAGTTAAACATATAAGCCTGTAAGGCATCTTAGGTGCAAGGGGAAAAAAATCACTGTGCACATTTATTTAGTCAATTTCTAACTGAAACCTGTGTAATCATATTACTTACATAACTTCCTAATTGACTGCTCTAGACTGGATCTTGTAAAATAGTATGCACAAAAAATTAAAGTTATAGTTCAGGAATCAAAGAAGTGCCCTTATACAATGTCTAAAGAATAGGCTTAATGTATTAAAAATTGTAAGTACCACTTACAGTAGATCACTGTATCTGCTATTTGCATCTTTAAAAATAAATCCCTGTTTTCCTAGTAGGTAGCTGCCCACTTTATATACACTACATTGAGCAACTTTAACTGTAAGTGTTGCTGCTAGCATTGCCTATATACAACTCCCATTCCTTGTGATGAGAGTTACATGTTAACAAAGGGCAAAATAATCATGTAGTCATGATGCGTTCCAATTTTATTGTCCAGTTATATGGTTTTGCAGTGCTACTTACTTTGACGTAATACTACAACCTGCTAAGCCTTCCCTGTGCAATACTGGGCACCCTCCTCTCTCATTGAAGGCAGTGGGAGTTGACAAGTGCCCAGCACCATACTGGACTGGACCCTGGCTCAAAATCTGAATGCTTGCATGTTTTTGTAGAAGACCTAATACAAGTAAGAGAAGTTACTAACCAACATAACATTTTTACCCTTTGTGCGATTTTAGGCCAAATCCCCAGCTGCAGACAACGAGCATGCAGTGCAAGTAGGTGCATGAGGGGAGCAGTATTTACCTTTGCTCTCCCCAAATCCTGAGGCTTCTGAGTGCAGGGCCAGATGTCCAGTATAAGTCAGAGCAGCCATATATGGGCTGCTAACAGTCCCTCGGGGCCAGTGCTCTGCAATGCGACCATACCATACAATCCAGTCTGCAATATGCTTAGTAGTAGGTTTTCATCTTAACAATGAATCTATCAGATAGTAACCTTGCATTTCTATAATGCCTTCTCATGGGGGTTTCTTAAGTCAAGTACTATCTGTTTTTTACAGATGGTAAAGTAGAGGCACAGAGAAGTTACTTGCCCGAAGTCACAGAACAAGTCAGTGGCCAGGCTAGGAATAGAATCCAGACACCATGCTCCCTCCCTTAAAATAGTGTCTTTGTGCAATAATTGGTGAGTGGATGCTAGATTTTTTTTCCAAGCAGCTGTTCAATTCAGATTCATAATTACACACACCTTAGAATTGGCCATTTTTCACATGTATACCGTATGGAAACTGGCTGCTTTCATGGGTTTTGTGGGGATGCTGATTGATGTATATTCTGGCATCTCAGAAGCAGGACAATTTGTGATAGTTGTCTGAAGGAAGTCATAGCTTTCCCTGTCTCACAACCAGAAACTTTCCCCTCTCTCTGACCTGAAGTGAGGATGCAGCCTACCTTCCTATTTATGTGTTCCTGACCCAACTTTCATGTGGGAACCAGTGAGGGTGTGTAGATAGGCACCTTTCTCTGCAGCCCCTAACTCATGTTGGGCAGAGAGTAGAAAATAAACTAAATTGTGTACAGTCCTCTACAATTCTCTGAGGACTAGAATGAGCTTTGAGAGGGGACTGCAATCTGCATGATCTTAATACTTCCATACATTTTAAAAGTAGAACAAAATCTTTTATTTAACTAGACAGAAGTATTTACTGCTTAGATTCTCTTTTGTCATGTCCCGAATGAGACAGTTGATACATGGTATGGGGAAGTGAAGGGAAGCCAACTCAAATACAGAGAGCAAATGTAGAAACCAGGGAGAATCCAGCCTGACCAAGAAAATTAATTTGATTAAAAAAGGCAAAGCAGAAAATGATTCAAACCTATGGGAATGAGAGTCCAGGAAACAATCGAGAGCAGTGATACTCAGCCTTGAAGATCAGGAGAGCCCTTATGGAATCAATGAAGTTACAGTTGCTGTGTGTGTTGTGTCATGAGTGTTTTTGTGAGTCTTATGCCATGACACGTCACAATTGGAGGAAGTTGCACTGTGATTGTTTTGTGGCTCCAGTTACCACAGTAGTCCAGGGGGGCAGAGGCCACTTTGTCATCTCTGCAGTTTCTCAGTCCTGGGGCCAGCCAGCAGCTAATTCAACCTAGAAGAGCCTTTGGGCTCCTGTAAATTCCACCTGGCTGCAAGTCAGCTTCAAGGGTCATTCCAGCAGACAAGGGTCAGAACAGTGCAGAAGGGCTCGGACAATATTCTCAACCCCCATTTCACTCCTTACCCTGGAGGCTATGAGGAAGATGAGCACAACATAGCTAGGCTCAGTCTGTACATGCTGCGGATTTCCCCCCTATGTTTGGGGAACCCACGGGAGGCCAAGTAAAACTGGCTTTACAGCTCCTTTGTGCCATCAGAGCAGTGCAAAGGGACTGTAGTCAGGCCGAGCATCTGGCCCAATATCCTTTCCTTCTGTGCCACTGGAATTGTGGCATTCCTTGTCTCTTTTTGTCCCCTTCCACTTAGTTGCTGGGAAAAGTAAGAGTGTGTCTGTCTGTCTAAAATCCAAGGGAGGATTGCAGAGGTCTGTCAAAGATCTCTGGATTGAATTTTGATGGCATGGTCTATAACCTTCTTCAGTATACTAGCACAGATTTAAAAGGAAGCAAGGAAGAATGCTTTTGAAGTTAGGAAGAAAGTGATGGCAGTATTTAAAAAAATAAAGTTATGAAGTGTTGGACAATGATTGAGAATGCAGGAGGGTTTTTAATGTTGAGCTTTACACCAGGTTTGATGTAATTTACAATTGGACCAGGAGAAGCTATAACTATCCCCCACAATTCCTTAAGTCATAACAGCAGTTGATTGACCCAGTAAGAGCATGGATGGGGCAAAAAAAGAGTTGCTGTAGATTGTGAGGGATATTGATTCACAAGGGGAAATATGAAAGATTCCAAAAGCCATGAGGAACAACATGTACTTGTGACAAGCAGATGAGGACCTACATACTTGAATTCACCTAATGTAGCTAAGATTTTTAATAAAGGGTCACTGATCACTTAGAGTTAGTGAACTGGACACAGAGAAAACTGCCAAGTTAATCAAGCCATTGTGAGGTATTTGACTTGGCTGAAATACAAATGGTTTCTTCTTACCATTAGTGGTACTGCAAGAGGCACTTTCATACAGAAGGTAACATTTGTTATATCATTGCAGAGATTTTTGCTTTGTAAACATGTATAATGACCTGTACAATTCTGATTTCAACCTGATAATGGAAATGCAAAGCATCAACTGAAGCATGATCTTACCCAAGGCCACAAAACACACTACACTATTTTTAAATGTATGTAATACCTTATTGTGTGACGACATCAAGACTTTATACAAAAGAGATGCTGTGCCGTTCTTAATGAATGAAAATGACCAAATCTTTGGTTTAAAAGAGGCAGCAGTTATGACACTGTTGAACAAAATTACCTAATAGAAACAGGGGCCATGAATGGAAAGTGAATCAAGGTCAATAAAGAGTACCTAAGGCACCTCATTTATAGTCAGTCATCTTTGCTACACTCCTAAAGACCTCCAAATAATACTTACAAAACTGCACACAATAAGGAAGGTGAAACAGCAGAGGACCAAAGTACTTATTCGAGTTAAACTTCTCAGGATCAGAGGATAGGAGGGAAATATGCTTCCCCAAACCTGAAGGATGTTATGGACAGAATCAAAGCTAGGAAAAAGCTGACTTCAGAAGGAAGATGAGTACCGTAAAGAGCAAGCACACTCTTTGCTGCTCATGAAGCACAAGCCAAGACCTGGAGCGAAAAAGCTAGAAAGTGATAGTTTCTGATGCCCAGTTTTCTCCTCCACCTTGAAGACAGGAGAAGAATAGTACATTGTATACTTGCCTCAAAATGGAGATAATTGTTCTGCAGACATAGTAAGGGTTGTCCTGGCAAAAGATGGAGGAATCATAAGAACAATAGGAATTAAAATTTATCTTTTGTCACCAACATAGTGAGGCTCTTCATTTGATGGGATGTTACTGGGTGGTAATTACTCTCTAACTACCACGTCCTAGGCTAGATTAGGGCTTTAATTTAAATACTTTTTTGATTTCTCCCTCTCCCCCCAGGTTCAACTATGGAAAAAAAAATCCACTCTAGTACTTGCCCCATTACTGGAGGCAGTGTGAGAATGAGTTGACCATATTGAGCCAATTCTGTCCTTGTAGAAGGAAATGAAATGAAATGAATTTCTAAGCAGTAAATCTCAGTGGGGCCTGCATTTAACTGGGCCTGCTTTTTGATTGCTGAACTGTGTGTAAAATATGCAGTCAGCATCCATACTTCCCCTTTGACTAGCAGTAGGAAGGAACTATGAAATTCCCCTGCCTGCTTTTAAAGTCCATGCTGGTATGTGTAGTCAACCAAACCCTGTCCCCATCTTGGTATGTAGGCTCATTTGGTATTCTTCATTCTTTTCTGCACACTTATCCAACAGCTTAGAAGGTCCATGGGGAGAAAGAAGGCAAAAGGTACAAGTGTATGTTGTAAAATATGCAGGTTTTTTTTTTTAAGTCTCAAAAGGGGTGCAGAAAAATTGAAGAATACTTTTTCAATAAATCTGGCCCAAACTTCAGGTAACACAAATACTTAAGTTTCTCAGATGCTTTTGTGAGTATCACACTAAGCCTGCAGTAGGCAAAAGGCTGGTTACATTTTAATGCATATTAGTTAACTGTACAACACTTAGTGTTCATGATAAATGCATGTATGATTGTTATACTTTTCGCATTCTTTAGGAAAGCACGTCAAGCTTTAAAGAGAAAAAGGTTGTACCGCCTTTCAGTATTTCGATTACACTGAACTTGTGCTCAAACAATATTTTCCTTGTTTCTCGGTTTTTACTGTATGTTTTCTGCCCTCAGATATGGCCCATTTCCTGTTCTCTCGGAGCTACCTTTGGCTATGTGGCTGGCCTCATTATTGCACCTCTGTGGATATACTGGAATCGGAAGCAGCTTACATACAAGAGCAGATAACTGGGGCAGAGAGAGAAGGTATTTCTTTGTGCAGATTCCACACAGACTGGGCAGAAATTTTTATGTGATCACAGCAAGAGACTATTGAAATATTTTCAACGTGTTTTTGGGCCAAGCATCTCCACTTGGCATTATTTATATGCTGTTGTTGCCGGCTCTACCCTTTTTAACCCCTGAGAGATTGATTGTATCTTCCAGTCCAAATAAAGTATTTGTAAAAGATGGTGGCTGCTTCTTACGAGAGTTTTGTTGATTTGCTTGGTTTTGTTCCTCTGAATTTCACTGATTTCAGAGGTTAGATTCCTAAGTTTAGCTTACAAACTTCTATGATCTATAACAAGTTCTGTGTACTTATGAACTGTATCATTTACGTTTGATAGAAATTCACAGTAGGCCTGGCCATTGTCAAATGTATCTCACGTGATCAAACAGCAGTTTATGCATCTTGATCCTATTCTTTTTTTCACTGTGTGTTTCTTTGGAGTTAAAATGGCTATTATAGCTTCGTCAAAAACAGTCTTCAGTCCTTTCTGTGTTAAAGCTGAACACTCCACATAGCAGCAGGCTCCTATCTGTCAAAAAAAAAAAAAAATTTAATAGCTACATAGGTATATATTCAGATCTATTCGTTAGCTCTTGAGGTTTTTTTGTTTTTATAGAAACACCCCAAAGTCTTGTTTAACCTAGAAAAATCATCCCAATATGTTCCATGTCCTGTAAAGCAAATTATTCCTTTTCTTTGTCTTTTGATGATAGTTTTGGAATTAATTTCTTTAGATTCTGCTTCTGAAGAAAGCATGTTACAAGCAGCTTGTTTTGGGTTGACTGTACAGTCCTAAACCCTTCAGCTAAAGAACAGGAAGAAAAAAAAATTGTTGCCAACTTGTAGATTCGTTTCTGAAAATGGGCTATAAATAAAAATGCCTAGCATCTTCCTGACATTTTAAAAAAAGTTTGTTTTGTAATGATTAACAGCCTACAGGTACATCCCCCATTTGAATTAATTATCAGACTCAATCATTATTGACTTCTGTATTGAAAAGATTTACACTGTTATTAAAAGGGAAACATCTAAGTGAGGCTGGTTATCTAGACTGGTGAAATAAGTATGAAAATAGCACATAAGGAGAAAAGAATGCAATCAAGAATAAGTTGGGTAGGAGCAGGTTTATTTCCCCCTGAGTGTCTGATTTACCTCTTTTGCTAACTTCTGTCCCTGCTCCATAGATATAGGCTTCTCCTTCAGATCATTCAATCTTGCTAAAGTTTTTGGATCATCACGAAGATCAATCTAGTCGGAAAGATGGTAATAATATTGCATGATGATTACACACATGTCAAATAGAAATCATTGAGCCATAACACGTCCTCAGTTCTAGGGCCTGATCCAAAAACCACATGAAGATGTAGATCAGGTCCCCAATATCTGCGTATCCAAAGGAAGGGTAGGTGGGTTATTTATTCTCAGCTCTTTTTCCTTAACTTCAGTGTGACACTCCAGAATCACCAATGAACACAGGAGGGGCAGGATTAATCCAGTACACACTGGGGAAAACTTGAGCTGCTTCTGCTTAGACCACAATCCATGGGACTAGAACCTGGGACTGTGGACCCTAGGTCATCTGACAGTCTACTGAGAGACCATGCAGTGCCATATCCAAGGGGCACTATGGCGATTAGGCACCTCAGGAAGTACTGCCCACAGGGTCCAGAGTGACAGCACACTGTGGGCTTCTGATTGGTTCTTGCTCACTATTTAACCCTGGAGGGTGCCCCAAGAAGTTGTCTAGATAATCATGCAGACTTCTGGCATGCTGTGACTCCAGACCTCACCTTGTTTTCTGATCTCTGGCCTCCAACCCCAGCCTGACTCTGAGCCTGACTCCTGCCTGTTGATACCAGGTCTAGTGACTACGCTGATCCTTGTTCTCTAACTACTGCCTCATGGCCATCCTTGATATGTGGACACCAGCACAGCCATGACCGCTAAGCCAGACTGCCTATGCCCTGGTTCCCTATAAATCCAATGTCCGTTGAAATCAAGAGAAAAGTCTCTCCATTTGTTTCAATGGGTACTGGATAGGACTATTAGTTGTGGCACAGGCTTATGCTACTAATGTGGGGCCCAATCCTGCAGTGCATTCTGGGACTAGTAATCCTATTGATTTCAGTGAATTACCTGGAAGAGTAATGCTTGTAAACCCAGATCCCTGCTCAATAGCCTCAACTGCTTGTGTAACATGATGCATTTTGTTTTAATAGAATGAAGGTAACGCTGGAGCTGTGACACACTTTTTGGCCAAAACTTTTCACTGAAAAATGCAGATGTAGGTTGATGGAAACATTTTGCAAATTCATGGGGAATTCACCATATTGATTTAATGGGGGGGGGGGGGGACCTAAAAATATTCCCATAAATTTGAAACATTTTGTTTTGACATTTTCTAAATGAGGTGTATACAATCTAAACAAATTTGTTTTGAAATTTACTTGATTTATTTTTTTAAAGATTTTAAAATCTCAAACTAAACATTTTGTATGACCTTGAAACAATTTTCTTTGACTCTTCAGTTCACCAAAAATTTAGAAAAAAATTCATTTTAGGTCTACCCAAAATGTAGTTTTAATTTTTTCAGTATGGCCAACAAACTGAAGAATCAGTTATTCACTCAGGAATACTTAGGAAAACAGGGTCACTTGTATTCTACTATTGGATATGAGCAAGATCATGTCTACACTACAGCAGCATAGTATAGATGCTTCCTACATCATTGACGTAATTAATCCACCTCTCTGAAAGGCAGTACCTAGGTCAGTGGGAGAATCTTTCCATTGAACTTACCTGCATCTACATTGGGGGTTAGGTTGCCTAATAAGAGGGAAGGTCTGAAAGAAAATAGCATAATGCCACTACATAAATCTACAACCACACCTTGAATACTGGGTGGAGTTCTGGTCACCCCATCTCAAAAATGATATACAGTACTAGAATTTGAAAAAGGACAGAAGGACAACAAAACTGATTCAGGGTATGAAACATCTTCCATAAGACTGTTCAGCTTCGAAAAGAGACAACTAAGGGGGATATGATAGAGGTCTATAAAATCATGAATGGTGTGGATAAAAAAGGTGAATAGAAAAGTGTTATTTATTCCTTCACATAATACGAAAACCAGGGGTCACCCTATAAAATTAACAAAACTACTACTTCACACAATGCACAGTCAACCTGTGGAACTCATTACCAGGGGATGTTGTGAAGGTCAAAAGTAATACTGGGTTCAAAAAAGAATTACCATATATACTGGATCATAAGCCATTTCGTTTATAAGCTGACCCCCCCCCAGGGTGGGTAAGTAAAAATGGAAAATGTTTATAACCTGTTCATAAGCCGACCCTATAATTCAGGGATCAGCAAACTTTGGCTCCCAGACCATCAGAATAAGCCGCTGGTGGGCCGAGATGGTTTGTTTACATCGAGTGTCCGCAGGCACGGAGGTAAAGCTAAGTAAACAAAGTGTCCTGGCGCTCCAGCCTCTTACCCTGACGGGCCGGGACAGCAACTGGTGGGGATATTTGGGGGGTGGGAGAGGAGAAGCTGGGAGTCGGAGTAACCCCTATGACCACCCCCCACATGACCCCACCCCTAGCCCGGGACCCCCACACTCTCCCCTTCCCACCTTATCTGGGGAGGGCCAGGAGAGGATGTCTGTAACCTGGCTGGAGCTGCTCCAGCAGGCTGGGCAGCGCAGTCGGAGCATGTTCCAGCGGGCCAGACGGGGTGGTGCAGCCGCAGCATGTTCCAGCGGGCTGGGCCGGGCGGCACGGCCACAGCGTGCTCAGGCGCCCAAGCGGCACGGCCGCAGCCTGCTCTGGGGGGCGGGGCTGAGCGGCACGGTTGCAGCCTGCCAGCCCCAGAGCGGCAGCTGCTTTGGAGGCTGGGGGGAGAGCAGCGTGGCCAGAAGCGGAGAGACTCTGGCCCCACCTCTTCCCTTCTGTCTCTCCTGGCTGTGCTGCCTCTCCTTGCTCCTTCTGTTGGGGGGAGGGGCTGTGTCCCACCTCTCCCTCGCTACACCCGTTCATAAGCCAACCCCCGTCTCTGGTGCTTCCCTTTTTTACTAAAAAAATTCAGCTTATGAACGAGCATATACGATAGATAAGTTCATGGAGGGATAGGTCCATCAATGGCTATTAGCCAAGACCGTCAGGGACGCAACCCGATGCTCTGGGTATCCCCAAACTTCTGACTGCCAGAAGCTGGAACTGGATAATGGGATGAATCACTCAATACTTGCCCTGTGCTGTTCATTCCTTCTGGAGCATCTGATACCAGCCACTGTCAAAAGACAGGATACTGGGCTAGGACCACCATTGGCCAAACTGGGTCAGACCATTCTCATGTACTTATGTCTTAATTACAGTGCTCAGGGCATGAAATATTTCACAGCCCTGAGTAACGTAGCTAGGTCTACTTAAGTTATAGGTGTAGGCTAGGTCTAACTCTTCCAGTTGAAGTCAGAGAAGGAGTTATTTGGATCCTGCTGCAGGGGCCTTGGGCCCAAAGAAAGCACACACGTTAGATGATCTGGATTATTTAAATAAAACAAGCAAAATAAAACCAGACATACCTGGGTTCCTACTAATAAAAAGGGTACATTAGGTGCATATTCCTTTAGCTCTGGTACCCATTCCTCCTTCACATTTTGAAATGAGGCTGGATTTACCACTGAGAAGCAGATAAGGAAGACATCTGTCATAGGATAAGATAACGGTCTCAGACGATCGTAGTCTTCCTGAGGAAGAAAAATGTTGTTATCGGCAATCCTGAACTGAAGCTCATATTTTGTTCATTGTAACAGTTACATTCAGGGACCGTGCTCAAATATCTCAAAACTCATTTAAACAGGCTCAGTTTACTTGGCTGTTTTAGTGGTACCCCCAGTCAATTAACGTGGTTTTAGATTAAAATCCACACACAGGACGTAAACATATACATGAAAGCACGTGAAAACCCTGGCAATGTTGCTACCAGTAGTTACACTGTTACCTATGCAATATGATAATTATGGAAAGCTAAACTTCTTTAAAGCAACGTTCTTTGCCTATCTGCAACCTAAGAACTAGCTTTTGCCCTGGCATGCTGAGGGGAAATAAGCAGACACATGCTGATTCCACAACCATTCTGCCTATACAAAACAAAATGGGTGAGGCAAATCAGAGAAAT